GTGTGTGTGTGCGTGCGTGCGTGCGTGCGTGCGTGCGTGCGTGCGTGCGTGCGAGCGTGCGTGCGTGCGTGCGTGTGTGTCTATATATGTATGTGTGTGCGTGCGTGCGTTCGGCGTGCGTGCGTGCGTGCGTGTGTGTGTGTCTATATATGTATGTATATATGTATACCTCCTTCAATGTATCATCATATCAGGAGTGAATAATAATCGATTAAAATATATAATAAATATATATATCCATTATTATTCACTCCTGATCACATGTAGTCGCCTTCCTCTCTCCAGCCTGTACGCTGCTGCGAGCGATGAGTCATGAGTCGCGCTAGCACGCGCTTCCTGACTGCTGACGTGAGAGGGCCACCCTCCCTTCCTCCCTCGCCCTCTCCGCTTCCTCTCTGCGACGCTGCGCGTGGACGTCATCGCGTCGTCATGGTGACGCACGCGCGGTGCGTGACGTCACGGGACGCGAGCTGTCGGAGCCCGCGTGAGAGTGTGGCTCTTGCGAGCTAACATGCGATGAGTACCAAACTCAGGAAAACCATGGTGTGTCCGAACTCTGGGAAACTTTTCAAGTGCGAACTCTGGGAAAACTTGCCCCGGACACGGCAAGTGACAAAACTCGAATGCGAAACTTTCGCTCCCAAAACGCCGGTGAACCGCTGAACGCCGGATGTTTTCGCGCTCGCATACGTTCCGAGATGCACAGAATTAGCAATGATCTCATAACCGGTGACGTCATAAGGAGGGGAACGTACTAGCCAGCTAGACACGGCGAGGCAACGATGGGTTGAGATTGCACGAGTGTTATTAATCGTCGCGATAGCATTCCGAGTGAGATCTCTCTCTCTCTCTCTCTCTCTTTCTCTTTCGCTCTAGAGCTAATATATAATGTGTTTATAGTGTCGGATCTCGGTGGGTGAGTTAGAGCAACAGAGAGACCAACTGCAGGCTGAGTTCTGACGTCGTGCTCCTGTGCGACACATTCTGTGTAAATCTGACGTGCTCTGTTCCCACGCGACTCGTTCCGTGTGCACGCAATCAGCACCTTCCCCTCCCTTCCTTGCAGCCGCAGGCAGCAGCCGAGGATGGTCGGTCTCTCCAGCTCCGCCGGAAACACGCCGAGCAGTTCGCCGCTGATGCCGCCAGGGGGCGCTCACCTGCGCGCGAACAACTGGACGTACGTGAACGGAGGCGGTCGCATCAAGCGATCGCAGACTCTGTCCGGAACCTACGAACTGTCAGACGACCTGCAAGCAAAGCAGGTGAGCGTGTGTGCGAGGTTGCTGGGCAACCTGGGAGGGTGGAGGGATGTATGGGGGAGGGGGGGGGAAGTAGTCCGAAACATAAAATATTACATCAGGAGCTTATATTGCCAAAAATGAGAAATAATGTCATTATTAGCTCCTGATTACATCTTTATTTAATTAAATATATGACGATATATAATGTAATTTACGAAATATAAAGGGGCTAGGGGCCCGTTGTGTCAGAGACAAAATCACTGTCATAACATTAGTCATAATGCAAATTTTTTTCTCATAGACCACTTGGTGGAAAGATGGTAAAGTTAGGGTTTCTAATATGCAGCGGATTGAGGTTTGGTTTACGAGCTATGTCAATGTCATAATAATTTAGTATGTTGTCACTACTTAAGCCTAGGACACACTGTGCGATTTTCTACGCTGGCCGCTTGCGATCCGCCGATCGATAAATACGGTGCCGGGTCGAAAAACCGGGCGGAAATATTCAACATGTTGAATACGAGCGAGCGAGATACGCTGCCGTGAGACCGGACACACCGCGCGGACCCGGCACCGTATTTATCGATCGCAAGCGGCCAGCGTAGAAAATCGCGCAGTGTGTCCTAGGCTTTACGGCCTATTTCATTATTTCTTCCCTCTTCCCTTGCATGTGCTCTGCCACTGGCTACCTTCGTCCCAGCATCCGCCTATCTTGCCATTTCTTCTGATTACTAGATGTGCATCTGTAGATTTACGTGTTGACGCTCCTCAGGTTTGCTGTCTTTTCAAAGGTTTACACGTTGTATTAAAATACTTATAATATAAAATGTTAATCAAAATAATTTCCACTACGAATTTCATTTATATCTCGCACTTATTTCATAACGTAGTTAAAACTAGAATAAAACTTAAATGCAACAGAGCGTTTCCTTCGTCGGCCACCAGGTGGAGATACTGGAGCGCAAGTACGGCGGACACCTGCGCGCTCGCCTCGCCGCCCGCGTCATTCAGCGCGCCTACCGGCGCCACACGATGGCGAGACAGTTCCGCAGCATGCGCGCGGCGAAGCACGACCGCCGCCAGTCGCGCCGATTCTACTCCATGCAGGAGCCAATCGCGTCGTCCGCGTCGGCGTCGGCGACGGCGCAGCCGCCAGGGAGCGCCGCCGTCGCGCTCGAGACGTGGTACAGCGAGAGCGCGTTCGTGCGCACGGAGAGCCGGCACACCGTGCGCGTGCTGGAGCGCAGCGAGCTCGTGCTGCTGCCGTCGACCGCCAGGGGACGCCGCCGCTACGACCACGCGACCGCGCGCGAGGAGGAGGAGGACGGGGAGGAGGTCGACCTTCGCTGCAAGTCGATGTCGCTCGACCGCAACATGAAGCTGACCGGTCCGGCGGCGTGGATGACCGGCGGCCTGCTGCCGGCCGCGCGCGAGGACAGCACGAGTCTCCTGCTCACGGACTCGCCGCGCGCGAAAGCGGGCCCGCCAGGGGGCGCCGCGGGGCAGAGGGCGGCGGCGGCGGCGGGGAAGCACGCGCCGTGATGTATGGTTAGGGTTTTAGGAGGACTGTTCAGTCCCGTTCTTTTTCGTTATATATGAGTAGAGGCGGCGAGATTGTGATAAAAGCGGAGTTAAGAAAAGATCAAGACCCGCACCATCGCGCGACAGCACTCGCCCCCGCCATCGCTTTTCTCTCTCTCTCTCTTCTTCTCTCTCTCTCTCTCCTCTCTCTCTCTCTCTCTCTCTCTCTCTCTCTCTTTTCTCTCTCTCCTCTCTCTGCTCTGCTACCTTTTTCTCTTTCCGCCTTCTTCTCTCCTTCTCTCTATCCGTCTCTCCTCCCCCTCTCCCCACCATTCCCACCCCTTCTCCATGCGACCTCTCCTCTGCCGCTCTCTCCCCCCTCTCTACTTGTCTCTCACGTTCTCTTCTAATGGCTCTCTCCTTCCCCATCTCTCCACCTCCTCTCTCTCTCCCCATCCCTCACCCTCTGCTCTCTCCCTCTCTCTCTCTCACCTCTCTCTCTCTCTCTCTCTCACCTCTCTCTAGCTCTCTCTCTTTCACCTTCTTTTTCCTCTCGCCCTCTCTCTCCCTCTCTCCATCTCTCTCTCTCCCTCTCCCTACTCCCCCCCCTCTCTCCCCTCTCTCTCCACACCTCTCTCTCTCCCCATCTCTCCCCTCTCTTTCTCTTCCCCTCTCTCACCCTCTCTCACCCTCTTCTTTCCCCCCATCTCTCTCTCTCTCTCTACCCTCTCTCTCTCTCTCTCTATCTCCTCACTTTCTCTCTCTCTCTCTCTCTCTCTCTCTCTCACCCTCTGCTCTCTCTCTCTCTCTCTCTCTCACCCTCTCTCTCTCTCATCTCACCCTCTCTCGCTCTCTCTCTCTCTCTCTCTCTAGGGTGTGGATGACGGACTACGACCTGGACACGGACATGTTGGCAGGCGTCTACGCGATCGCCATTCAAGGCCACGGGAGTGAGACGTCGGCGGACCACACGTCACAGGGGCTCAACGGCGAACAGACGATCGTGCGGGTCGAAGAAACCGTAGGTGGCGCCAGCTTCGTCAGGTAGGAGTGTCGGTGGGGAGAGAGGGGAGGGGAGAGCAGAGCGAGTCGG